ATGTCTCATGATCCAGGAGAGAGAGAGAGGTTGTTTTCCCTATGGACCTGTTAGCTAATTTGTAGAGCAAGCCAGTTGGCTTCCATGGAGCCCATCTTCTTAAGCATTCTTGAACATGCAGGAGTTGTTCTTGCTATTGAAAGTTGCCTTCCTCTTTGAGTTAAAACTGTCAGATCTAGGCTTCCAGGACAGTTTTGGATGAAATTCAAAGTAGGTGCTTGCCTTCTGAGCAAGATAAACTTCATGTCTGCATATTTGAGCTTGATTTTGGCTTTATCCTACCTTTTCTGCTGCTGGTACGCTTAACTCCAGCATGGTCAGTAATTGAGTAATCTGAAGTCATTTACCATGACTCTGGACCAAATCAATTCCTAGTAGTTTGGTGAGGAAATTGGAGGGTCTGGAACAAACCCTTCTGTTAGTGATAAACATAAATCCTTCTACTTCCAAATGTGTTTTTATGTCTGCCTCTCTGTTCACTTGCACACACCAATTAAATACTTTTTTTCCACTCATATTCTGGTTTCAGAAGATTGACTCTGACTCAGGTAGTTTATGTGTGTTCTCTCTGTTTCTGACTGTTGTCATTATGGCTAACAAACTAGAAGGCTGTGCTGCCATTCAGCAAGACCTGGACAGGCTGTAGAGTTGGGCGGAGATCTGATGAAGTTCAGCAAGGGCAAACAGGGTCTGAACCTGGGGAGGAATAACTGCATGCATAAGTACAGATTTAGGAAAGGAGCTGGAAAAGAGCTTTGCAGAGAAGAACCTGGACATTCTGGTTGATAACAGGTTGGCCATGAGCTGACACCGTGCTCTTGTGGCCAAGAAGGCCAGTGGTATCCTGTGGTGTGTTAAAAAGAGCATTGAGGGAGGTGATACTCCACCACTCTGTCTTGGTAAGGCCACATCTGGAGTTCTGTGTCCAGTTCTGGGCTCCTTTGTTCAGGAACGACAAGGAACTTCTGGAGAGGGGCCAAAGGGCAACAACGATGATGAGGGATGTGGAGTATCTCCCTTCTGAGGAAGGGCTGAGAAACCTGGGACTGTTCAGACTGGAGAAGAGAAGGCTGAGAGGGGGTCTATCAATGCTTATAAATATCTAATGAGGGGGAGTTACGTGGATGATGCCAGGCTCTTTTCAGTGGTGCTCAGAAGCAAAAACAGGGGCAATGGGCAGAAACTGGAGCATAGGAAGTTTTATCTGAACGTGAGGGTATTTTGAAGGTAACAGAGCACTGAAACAGACTGGCCAGAGAGATCATGGAGCCCCTTTCTCTGGAGATACTGAAAACCTGTCTGGATGCATTCCTTTGTCATCCACTCAAGGGAACCTGCTTTAGCAGCAGAGTTGAACTGCCTTTCCAGAGGTCCCTTCCAACCCATACAGTTCATTTAGCGCAGTGTGGCATACTGAGCTAAAGGGTGTCATACCTATGCAATTGTACCTCTGTAGGTTGTTGTAGGTTGACTTGACAGAGATTTTGTTACAATAGTTTTATGTTTGTTTTCTGTCTAAAAAATTGAAGCCATTCTGTTAAGTGTAATGTTCTCTATATTTTTTTTAATTCCTTCACTCCTTGGTTACTGTGAACCATTGCAAATATGCCAAGAACATTCTAGCATGACTTGAAAACTGTTTTCTAGAGTGTGAGGAAGAAATGTATTTTAAAGCCAAGCAAATTTTGGTAGATTACAAAAATCAGAGGAAAAATGTTGACTTTATAGAGTCATATATTTTATTACTATGCTTAAGAACTGTTTAGAGTTGACAAGAGCTCATAGTAGGCCAGAACTCCTCTTTTCCTTCTTTATGTTCCTCATTTTAGCTGGTAACAACCAGAGGATAATTCAGTAGAAGTTACTGGCTTAGTACGTGACATTTAAAGAGAGAACGACAATGTAGCAATTCTTTTACACTAGGGGCAATTGATCTATCAGCAAAAAATACAAATACATCTGATTCCATGAAGACGCATTTGTGGAGAAATTAAATGAAATATGGATTCATGGATGTAGCAGTTTGCTAATAAAACAGTACCAGATTCATTGCCAAAATAAGCAAGGGGTTGCTCTACTGGTCCCAATACATTTATCACAGGTCACCCCGTTGGTGACTTTGTCCTCTCTTCAGTAAGTGATTTTGGTAGCTAAATGCTGAAAAGTAGAGAAAGGAATAGTTGTTAGAGGCAGTGGACTATCATCTTAGCTGCCTTATTTGACCTGACCAAAAGGCCCTTGAAAGACACAGAAGCATCAAGGCACAACAGGGGTGTAGTGAGGTCAAGGAATTGCAGGAGATTGCTCCAGGAGCTGTCCGAGATGTGAAGCATCAGACTGTGACTGAGGAACGGGGTGAATGAGTTGTGCTTGAAGTCACTGCATGTTGCAGAGGTCTGGATGTGAGCTTGAGGATTGTTGGTAGTCACAGGTAACCACCTCTGCCGCACATTAGCCTGGTTCCCTGGGCCTTACCGGACTAGCAGCCACCTTACCAGCTCCTCCAATGGAAATCATAACTGATCTTGACACTTAACTGTGTTTCTTAATCTTCATGGTGTTAAGTTAGGCCATCATTTGCTCTTCAATAGACTGTGGACTTGGTGAGGATAGGAGCATAAAAACCCTTGCAGTGGGATCTCATGCTGAGTTGTTTTTTGAGGGTGTGATACGTGCTTCCAGGCGTCTGTAAGAGAACCACAACAACCACAGTCAGACCTGTAGCATTATGCCTTTTTTCTTAACTGAAATGGCATCTATTTTGTGTTAAGTTCATTGTTAAACATTATTGGTAAAGATATCCTTTATCATACTGGAAGTAGCAGGTGGTCAGCTTCATGCCAAATTACTTTTTCTTCAGCCAAGCAAATAAAAAAGGTGGATACCACTTCCCCTGAAGGTGTGGGGGCTGAGGAACTGAAACAGAAGAGATGTTGGTACAGATGTGCAGGAGACAGAGAGGCAGCATAGGTATGAGGGTCTGAGCAGAAATTCTGTGAGGCACATAGCCTTTATTGAATACATCTCTTGTATCTTTTCCATACTGATCATTTACCAAGAAGCCAGCTTTCATAAACATCAAAGCTCTGTTTAATACAGAGATGAGCAAACACTATAGTATGGAGAAACTGTCAGGAAACCTGACACAGCCAGTATTTCCACCAACAGAATATGAGAAAGGAAAACAATTGCATTAAAACAAGGTTAGTCATAAGGCTGTATTAGTTTGGGTTTTTTTACAGCATGAAACTTCTGATCTTTGATACTTACCTATGTGTCTAGTTTATCTCAAATTATGGGAGTGGGCAATTATATGTAGTAAGTTACAGAAAAGAAGGTGGCTAAAAACAGTTGATGGAGAAGATAGAGATTTCATATGAGATGTCTCTGCCTTTCGTCTTTTTTCAAAAGTATTTTTAGTCTCTTTTGTCTTAGGATGAATGTTTTGCAATAAGCATAGGTTGTAAATCTCTTTGCTTACCTCTAATGTGGAAGAAGGCATTTCCTTTACGAAGGAATTCTGGGGGAGGGGAAAGGAATAAGAAAATGCTTACAACTGTAAGTCACCGAGTGTCATATTAACCCTCCTGTTGTCATCACCGTATTTTAATATTTGCATTAATCTGTGCTTTTCTGGGTAAAGCAAAGCTTACCCAGAAGATATCCCTAGGCAACTGAGGAACAGTGAGCTCCTGGGCTGGCATGTGTGTTGGCAGAACACTGAGAAGTATGACCTCTGTGCTGGACAGCGTGGGCAGCACCACACTGTGCCTGGTCACTCACTGGGGCCTTCCTAGGTTTTTTGTCAGGCTTGAGAATAGCTTTGGTGTCAGTAGTTCACGTTTGCACGTAACCTGCAGGTACATATAGAAGTAATGAAGCCTACTGCATATCTTCTCTCCTCTTTTCTGTTCCCTCATCATTCCCGTGGAAAGAACGAATGTATACAAACTGTATGCTGATTAGAGAAAGAGAGTGAGTGTCTGTATTATTTTACTGTTATCATAAGATCATAGAATGGGTTGGATTGGAAGGAACCTCAAGGATCATCGAGTCCCAACCCCCTGCCACAGGCATGGCTGCCAGGTGGTAGTGCTAGATCAGATTGCCCAGGGTCCCATCCAACCTAGCCTTGAACACCTGCAGGGACGGAGCATCTACAGCCTCACCGGGCAACCTGTTCCAGCACCTCACTTCTCAGTAAAAAATTTCCCCTTACATCATTATGAATTGTATAAAGGTGTATGAAGTATATTATGAAGTGTAATAGAAAAAGATGAAGACTCTTTTCTGCTGGGGTCCATCTTACACAGTTCAACACCTGAATACTTTTCACAACACAGCCTGCTGAAGTACTTTGCAGAGGATTTGAGAGCTTAAGTTGGGCTGTAATTAATGCTTCTCTTCTCTTTAACTCGAGAGTCGCGTACTACCATCACATGTCTTCGTAATTTCCACAAGAATCATCATCTCTATACCCTGTCTTTACTTTCCTGTTATGCAGTGACTCCCAACTTTCCATTTGAGAGTGTACCTCTACTCATTTATTACCTTGAGAAGTTCTAGAATAATTCAGTGGTGAAACAAAAGTAAAGCTGTCACTGATTTTCATGCCTGGTATAAAAAAAATACACTGCGACTTAACAAAGAGTCCACTGGATTTGGTGATCTCACTGAAATGTCAGCTCTCCTTTTGCCAGTTCTACTGCAAACATTTGGCAAACACTGAATCTGACAGTGGAAATTTTATTGGCATGAGCAGTGTCGTGCTCATGGTGATGCTCGATGTGATTTGACCGTACAGGTACAAACTTACAGTGACACCTCCAAAGACTTCTCACTCTCATCATGAAGCTAAAAGCGGTGTGAATTAAATCATAAAAGATTTTTTTTTTTCCCTCTCAAAGGAAATTTTTGATGAACATCAAAGCGTGAATGTTTCAAAGCAAATTGGTGCAATTTATCACTTACCTGTGCTTTTCTTTGTGATTTATTTTTAGCTCATGGGACATTCTGAATGGGATCACAAACGAGGACCCAGAGGATCACAGGTCAGTTACTTGATATTGTGTATTTCTTTTTGTAAGTCTGAGGTATTCAAGCAGGTTTTCTAAGATTGACAAAATTGTTCATTTTATTAATATGTGAAAGATTGAATCAGTAGAAAAAAAGTATGAAACTGTCATAGCTTTCTCTACTGTAATTTCTGAGCTCTAATCCAAGCAGTTGAATCAAGCAGAGCTGAGTATTGCAGCAGAAAGAAGTTTATTTTAGTATCAGAAAGATGTATCACATGTGCTGAAAAAGCATTTCTTACCCTACTATATTCATCAAAATAGCAACACAAAGGAATGCAATTTCAAATAAAGTGTGTTCTTTCAAAAAATCCTGACAAACTTGTAAAACTTGGATGGCTTTCTCATCTTCTTCAATAATAAAGGGATTACTGGTGTTAGAACTGTACAGGGAGGTGGGGGGAAACTATGCGTAGCTGCTGGTTTGCTGTTGACTCATCGCTGAAAGGAAGTTATGCTATTACGGTTAATAGCATCACGCTGAAACTCTTTACAATTATCTGTAGAATTAGAATTACTGCAAGGGAGATACTGCTACTAATACGATGCTCATGAATTTTCATGCTTGGGAAAAGCAATATCTCCCGTCTGGTACTGAAATTATATACATACGCTATTAGGGCTTCTGTATTTTAGGTCTGCTTTTCAGATGAAAGATTTGTGAACATCTAAGTCTAAATAGATAATAAACAAGTCCTGCTGCTATGAAGCTACCTGGCTATTTGCAGCCTTAATTTCAGTAGGGTAGTTCTTGGAGTATCCTTCATCTTCTCCCTTGCAAAAATCACTGGAGAAGCAGCCTTTTTATTGACAAAATATTGTATATGAATCTGAAAGCTGCTACATGTTTTGTTAATATACACAGTTTGCTGTTTCCAGTGCAGAGCTCTTTTACTAAACCATCCTTTTACTTTCTTGTCCTTGTGATTGTAGAATTCTACATTTTTTCCCTAAGATTTTTAGTCTTCTGCCTCACATCTTACTTCAAATCCATCTTGAAATTTGCAGGATGTTTAGCATTTCATTATACAGTATAAGGTGGATTAAGAGCTGATTTTTCTCGTAACAGCAAGCTAGTTTGTGATGGAAAGATAGAAATTTCAGTAAATTCTATCCAGTTGTTTGAGAACTTTTCAAAACTGTTATGTCATGGTAACCCCTGAAAGTGTGTTCCTTCAAAACTGAAGAAAACTGGAGGAGGAAAATAAACTTTTTACACAGGTAGATAGTGGTAGGACGGTTTAAACTCAAAGAGGGGAGATTTAGATTAGGGAGTGAATTTTTCACTGAAAGGGTGGTGAGGTGTTGGAACAGGTTGTCCAGAGAGGTTGTGATTGCCCTGTCCCAGGAGGTGTTCAAGCCCAGGTTGGATGGGGCTATGGGCAATCTGATCTAATGCCTGATTTAGTGGTTGACAGCTCTGTTTTTGGCATGGAGATTGAAACTGTATGATCTTTGAGGTAGGTCCTTTCCTATCCAAGCCATTCTATGATTCTATGGTTCTCTGAAAATCTGTGTAGGTATTCATCTTTAAGTGCATAGTTTTGATCAAGTTATTTCTCAGTACTCTTTTATTTCATTTTTTCCATGTGTGGGTGCTTTCCAAACTTCTACAAAGTATTATAAATCTTGGAAGAATGTTGTAAATCTGTCAATCAGTATATGCCACAGAAATGTTACGGGATCTTGAATAAGACGAGGGGAAAAAAAAAAAAGGATCCAAGCTCTCTAAGCAGCATGTGGTGTCATAATACTCTGTCACAGGAAATAACGAAAGATTTTCAGTAGTGGAGCAAAAAGAGTTTATTTCATTGTACTATAGCTTCAGAATTACTTATAGGACTATGAAAACTGTCTTATAATAGCAAATGTTAAACATAATTTCTTTGAAGGTGAGAAAAAATTGAGGACAATTTTTACATACAATATAAAAGATAGGAGGTTTAATCCTTTTGTGATTCAGTTGCATTGTTCCCAATTTCTATCCTTAGTAAACTTATCCTTTGTTTAACAAGGTCCTGTTTAAAAAATAAGGTGAGTAATTTTCTTTCGAGATGGACTGGAAATTGTGTGTGGGAACTGTCCTGTCACTGCTTGTGGGGTTTCCCTAGGTCTGAGGATCTTTCCTCCAGCAGAAAAATGGGACTTGGAAACCGAGAGGTGTTTATTGGCCAGTGACTGGGCAAGTAACAACAGGAGAAGAAAGGGGGTGTGGATTCTCTTGGTCTTCAGTCATCCTTTAAATCTTATGAGGAAAGTGGGAAGACAGATCTTAGGAAGCCACCTGTGTGTGTGTTAGCAATGTCACTTGAAAGCAAGTGGAACTACTGGAACTACTATGTAAAATTAAAATTCACATATAAACTCATCAGATTATTCTACCTAGACTCATTAAGTAGAACTCTAATCCTGTCATGATTTGTTTTAGAACTAGTAGATTTTCTATGGTTTATGTTTGAAATATAAAAGGAAAATATTCTAGTGCATGTCATAGTTCTTAATGAACCATTTCGAAAATATGTTTATTTTTCTGCTTGTAGCAAACTGAAAGAGTTACAGGTAGCAATGGATGTCAGTCTTAATCCTTTAGGAATTTCTATTTGCAGGAGTTTGTCTCCTCATAAGCATCTGTAATTCAGTAGAATGTATGGAACAAGTAAAAAAGTAACTTGCTCCTGACTTGCACACCAGTGCCTCGCTGAGTCCATTAGAGATTGCACACATAAGTACAGAGATCACTCTGAAAATAATGCATCGTATTTATTTCCATGGAAACAGTTAGAAAGAACACAATAGCACTATTTGGTAGAGCAAGTTCTCAGCAACAAAATGCAATTTTCCAACATAGTCACCACCATTAGCTATGCATTTTTTGCCAGTGATGAACAAGAGCCTTCGTGTCACGCTCATAAAAATCTGCACCAGCAGAAGTGATCCACTGTTTCACAGCTTCTGTGACAGTATCATTGCTAGGAAAATGTGGCTCACACAGTCCATTTTTCACTAGCCCCAACAGACAGAAGTCAGAAGGCACCAAATCCAGACTGTTCAGTGGGTGTGGTAGGACAGTCCAGCCAAGATTGGCAGTGTGCTTCATGGTCTTCAAACTGGTGTGGGGCCTGGTGTTATCATGTTGCAAGAGAAAGATTGTCTTCTTCTTTCCTGACTGAAAGTTTGAGCCTTGGGTTTAATCAGTTTCAGAGCTGACGGTTTGGTAAGGTTTCCAGGAAATCCAGAATGATCAACCCTTTCCTAACCTAGAAGACAGGGAACATCACTTTACCCACCAAGGACTATGTCTTGAACTTTTTCTTTGATGGGGAATTCCCATGTTGCCTCTCCATGGACTGCCCTTTTGACTCCAGCTAGCAGTGGTTACTGATTAATACTCTGATCTAGGAAATTGTCATCTTCAGCTTCGTATTGGTTCAAAACACATCACCTACCACCTCACTGTGCTCACATCCACTGTTTGGTCTCCATGAACATTCAGGAGGCGTTGATGAATGTCACTGGCTTGCATTTTTCCTGTATGGTAGAATTCAGTGTCACACCTTTGCTTCACACACATTTCCATTTCAGACAGTATTTTGTCAGACTGCCTCTCTGCTGTCATCTGTCACACAGCAACAAGGTGCCACAGGATATTGGTTGGAAGGTTCAACCTCTACTACATCCGCCTCTGACATTATGAGCCAATATGGTAAAATAGGAGGCGTTACTTTCAGAGCAGCCCTTGTATAGTTGTAAGCACGTGTGTTTTCAGTTAAAATAACTTTTCTTTAAAACCCTTGTTACTAGTGAGAATTGCATGTTGATTTAGAAAGAGTAAATGGCAGTACATACCTCTTCATTTATTCCTTCATTTTTTAATCTCTAGAAATAAGACTTCCTGCTGTTAATTCTTCCTGTGAAAAACTTATTCTCTAGATGTGATATCATGCAGAAAGTGCAAAGTGGATTTTATTATGTTGCATGCTTGAATTTTAAGATTAAGACTGATTGAGATCCACAACTAAAACTTCAGAACTAGAATTCCAAATTTGAAAAATTCCTAAATGCTTAGGAATTTTTACCTCACCTAAGGAAGTCTTTCTGTATATAAAACACATCATCTAACTTGTGCAAGGGGAAAATATCCATGTTTATTTCTAATGTCAGAACATGTAAAAAGAAAATGTGACTACTAGAATCAGTTCTTAGCAATTAGGCAAACTGTATTTTAATTATTCAACGGTACTTCAAGTGGCATCCACAATACACTTTCTGCAGCCATTTTCAAGGACCTTGAATGCATGGGAGTTGTTTGCTGCTCTGTCATCAAGCCTTGTTTGGCTTGCTGAAGATGTAGGCGTAGCCCCAGGATTCAGTGGAATCGAGTGATCGTTCTTCCAGCATCATAAAGGGATGGTGATCAGGAGAGAAACAGTAAGGTCCAGTGTTTTTAATTCTCTTTAAATATAAAAAGCTCTCAATTATATATCTGAGGTGCTGCGTTTTACCCCTCCAGTTCCTAAGCAACAGCTATTTTCAGATTGAGTGCGTCTGGTGTTGTCTACCTACTTCATGCTTCTGCGAGGTAATTCATCAGTGAAAGCTAGGCTTTTCACTATCTCGCCTGATTCCCTTTGTCATGGCACTATAAGGAGACAGATGCTTTAAAGAAACGGAGGAAGCTTGGGAAAAACCGGTCTGAACCCTGCAGCTTTCAAAACTTCTGTACGTCGGGGAGCTCTGCCGTCTACAGCCATGAAGCAGAGGAGTCAGAAATAAGATTCTCAGCACTGTTTCGGAAGAAGCCTTTTTCTTGAGTGTGAAAAGCCTCTAGAGCAGATTCAAAACCATGAGCCGGAAATCTCTGTACTTGCTGAAGCGTAGATGGGAGTCGATTCCCGCTACTGACCAGGTACTGTGTTCTGGTGAATCTATTGTGTCACTGTGCTCCCTTGCAATGCCACTGCAAACAGACCTGCAGT